TCCCTGGGGGGAACGGTCTTCCTCTCCTGGGGGAAGAGAGAGAATGTGTGTCAGCGATGATCATTTGATGTCATGTTGGACTCACTCACTCACCATGGATTTGATCAGGTTATTTCTGTTTTGTTTTGATCATGGGGCCTGAACTCTGGGCCTGGGCCCTGTCTCTCAGCTCTTCAGCTCCAGGTGAGTGCTCTACCACTTGAGCCACAGCTCCATTTCCAGTTTTCTAGTGGTTTATTAGAGATAAGAGTTTCCTGGCCTTTCCTGCCCAGGCTGGCTTTGAACAACAGTCCTCAGATCTCAGCCTCCAGAGTAGCTAGGATTATAGGTGTGTGCCACCGGTGCCTGGTGATTACTCTTTTTTATCTTTATCTTTATTTTCTGGTGCTGGTTCTGGAGCTTGAACTCAGGGCCTGGGTCCTTTCCCTGAGCTTCTTTTTGCTCAAAGCCAGTGCTCTACCACTGGAGTCATAGGTCCACTTCCAGCTCTTTTGTTTTTTTTTTATTGTTTGTTGGCAATAAGTTCTATGGACTCTCCCGTTCCAGCAGATCCTCAGATCTCAGCCTCTTGAGTAGTTAGGATTACAGGCATGAGCCACTGGTGCTGGATGGCTGGTGGTTTATTTCTTTATTAGCTGAGTGTCAGTCCAGGCAAAGAAATCCGTGAAACTCTTATCTCTGTTTGATCACCGAAAGCCAGAAGTGGAGCTGTGGCTCAAGTGGCAGAGCATTAGTCTTGAGGATAAAGTTCAGGGACAGCTCTGAGGCCCAGTTCAATCTCCAAGACCAACACACACGCGCGTGTGCTCACACACACACACATAAACCCCAAACAACCAACCTCCAAACAACAACATCAAAATCCTCTCGATTTATTACCATTCTGTAAGTATTGGTGACTCCAAGGACCACCTGTTTTTTTGAGGCTGTCAAGTAGGTCAGGTTAGGGATGAGCAGAAGGGGAAGGGCAGGGCCTTGTCAAGGTGGAGAATTCTGTCTTTTACTTTACTGTTTGATTTATAAAAGACTTGGAACCTTGGTTAATTGTCAGAGAGATGAGGGAGGGTCATGTGCCCTTATTAATTGTAATCTCTGTGTTGGTGCTGGTTAAAAAAAATACTTGGAAACCCAGAGCTGGTGGCTCACGTCTGTATCCTAGCTACTCAGGAGGCTGAGATCCGAGGATCATGGTTCAAAGCCAGCCCGAGCAGGAAAGTCCGTGAGACTTTTCTCTCCAATGAACCACCAGAAAATGATGCTGAAGAGCCGAGGAACAGCGCCCAGGCCCAAAGCTCAAGCCCCACGACTGACCAAAAAAAATATACTTGGTAGATTTAGGAAGTCAAAGATAAGGACTAGGGAGCTCTAGGGCAAGGCTCACTGTAGCTCTGTCTCCTTCCCCAGAGTCCTCTCATAATTCCCTTTTGGAAAGTGACAGAACAAAAGCTTTTTGTATAGCCACAAATCCAGAACTCACAAGGGAAATAGGAGGAGGAACGGACTGTTAGGGACTGACTGATGTCCATCAACCCCTCCTCCCCCACTCCCAAATTCATATGCTGAAATCTTAATCTCCAACACCCCAGAGCTTGACTGTATGAGGAGAAGATTCTCCAAAAAGATAATCAGATTAGAATGTGAGCACTGAAATATGGTGTCTGGTGTCTTTACAAGAAGAGATTTGAGGCTGGGCACTGGTGGCTCACACCTGTCATCCTAGCTACTCAGGAGGCTGAGGTCTGAGGATTGAGGCTTCAAAGCCAGCCTGGGCAGGAACATCTGTGGATTCTTATCTTCAGGTAATCACCAAAAACCTGGAAGTGGAGCTATGGCCCAAATGATAGAATACTAGCCTTGAGTGAAAAAGATAGAATGCTAGCCTTGAGTGAAAAAGCCTAGGGACAGCTCCCAGGCCCCGAGTTCAAGCCCTAGTATTGGCAAAAAAAAAAAAAAAAAAATAGCAAATACACTCATATTCATGCAGACCCAAACCTACAAGAGTGCTGTGCAGCAGCCATCTGGTTTGAAGAAGGACTGATTTCTTCCCTGGGTGAGAGTAGGTCAGAGGTGCTGGAGGCTTGGTGCCAAGGAGGCTAAGACTTTGTGAAGTGAGAGACACACACAAGTGCCCAGACAGGCAAGACGGCCATTCTCATTATCTGAGGTCTGTCCCCTCCTGTCTCCCCAGGAGAAAATCTCACCAAGCAGGAATGTCATCTTGTTCAACTACTCTGGAGAACAGTATGGAGGCTCCTCAAAAGATTAAACATAGAGCTCCTTATGACCCAGCAATTCCACTCCTGGGCATCTACCCAAAGGACCACAAACCAGGTCACACTAAAGCCAGCAGCACAACCATGCTCATTGCTGCCTTGTAAACCATATAGCTAAGCTATGGAATCAACCCAGACGACATACACACACATGCACACATATATGGAATTCTGTGCTTCCATCAGAATGACATTGCCCCATTCATAAGGAAATGGATAGACTTGGAAAAAATTATATTAAGCAAAGTAAGCCAGACCCAAAGGAACACAGGCTGCTTGGTCTCCCTCATTTGTGATAACTAGACTATGTCTAGGATATTCCTAGCAGAAGATCACAAGGGCTCCATACCCTATGACCATGCAAAATGATGCTTATCAAAATGAACAAGAAATGGAAACAAGAGGTTTTTTAATTGTGCTGTTTGAAGTTCTTTTTTCCTCCTTTGATGTATGCCCTGTTGTTACTGTTCATGGTTCCCGTACCCTTTGTCTCGTATGTAAGTTTATCTGACTTGGGGAAGGGAAGGGGAAATCACAGAAGCCATGGGACAAAGTGTGAACAGATTCATCAGTGAGACTTGCTAGATACTCTCTTGGAAATGAACTTTACAACTTGAGGGGCCGGGGGGGGGGCAAGGGGAGGGAGGGAGAAAACAAGGGAGGGGGGACACCGTTCAAAAAGAAATGTGCACCTGTGCATCACCTCTACAGCACAATACAATAAAATCTCACCAAGCACCAGCTCCCATTTCCCAAGCTGTGAAGCAGGGTCCGGCTGCCGCGGCGGATGCTCCTCACCTGGGTGCTGGTGAGCGGCTGTGTTCTCAGGACAGACGGGCACAGTGCTGGGGACAGCAGGATTCTGTTCAGGCTGAGGCTGGGGTGGGTGGTGTCCTCGCTGGGCGGGGCTGGGGTAGGGAGACACGTGGCCACGCCCCCAGCCCTGCAGCCCTCCGCTCCCCAGCCAGCCGCTCACCACACCTGCTATTTTCCCTTACTCTGTTCCCAGCAGTGCGTGTCCTTTGAGCCCTGCTCCCCTGGGCAAGGCCAGGCGTGCGACATCCAGTTCTCTGCTCAACTCTGTGTCATGCACTATGAACACACTGCACACGGTGCTTGTCCCTCCCTCCCTCCCTCCTTCCCTCCCTCCCTCCCTCCCTCTCTCCTCTTCTCTCCTTTCTCCCTTGACTTCTTCCTCCTCCCTAACTTCTCTCCCTTCTTGCTATTACACATGTGATTCTTTCTCTCTTTCCCCTCCCTCCCATCACCTTCCTCTCTGCCTCTCTCCTCTCTCTCCCTTCCTCCTCCTTTCGCTCTTCTCCCCTCTCTCCCTCTCCCTCTCTTTTCTCCCTTTGTCCCTCTCTTTCTTCCCCCCTCTTTCCCTCTCTCTCCCTCTCTCCTTCCCTCCCTCTCCCCTCTTTCTCAAAAGAACTAGATGTTGAACGCAGGGCTCCACGCTTGCTAGACACATGCTCTCCCATTTGAGTCATTCCACCAGCCCCTTTTAATCTTTTTGTCTTGGTTATTTTTTTCTTTTTGAGATAGGATTTCACCGTATGCCCAAGCTAGCCTGGATTGTCAGCCTCCTATTTGTGCTTCCCCGTGTCACCAGGATGACAGGCATGAACTACCATACCCAGCAGCTGATCAAGACGGAGTCTCATGAACTTTTTTTTTTTTTTTTTGTCTGAGATAGATAAGCCTCTGACCATGATTCCCCCAATCTCCCTCGGCCCCAAGTAACTGGGGTTATAGGTGTGAGCCACTGCACCCCACCCAACTGTTGAGTGCATAATATTCTTAAGGTACATGGAGAAAAATATTCCCAACACAGCTCCTGTGAATGAAATATTTTTAAAGTAAACTACAGTACACGTGCTCATTCAAATAAAAATTAAAAATGGACAAAAAACCACAGGCACAGCAAGTTCTCCCATAACTTCAACAAAAGATTGTAATTTCTTGCTTAGAAGTTTTTTTTTTAATTGTAAAGGTGACTGACATACAGAGGGGTTATAGTTATGTAAGTCAGGTAATGAGAATACTTCTCTTTGAACAGAACCCTTCCCTTGTTTTCTCCCAGTTTTCCCTCCCACTCCTCCCTTGCCCCACAGGCTGTATGGTTCATTTCTAGTGTCTGGTGGTATCATCGCTGAATCGGTTCAGCCTCTGTCCCACCACTGCTGAGCTTCCCCTTCCCCTCCCCGAATCAGATAAACTTACATCCAAGTCAAAAGATACAGAAATCACTAACAGTGACAAAGTGTGTGTGTTGGGGGGGGAGGGGAAACAGGGCCCTAAAATGGAAAATTAAAAACTCCTTGTTTCCATTTCTTGGAGTTCATTTCAATAAGCATCATTTTGTACGATTATATGTAGATAGCTACTGAGCCCTTTTGATCCCCTCCTAAGAACATCCTCCTTTGGTCTCACTGTGTGAATGGTTAGACTCCTGTTTAATTTATCCTGTCCAAGTGTAGTTTTTTTGTCTTTTACTATCCGTTGGGTTTACTCACAGATGTATAGGCACATTGCAGTTGTTACACATGAGGGGAGCCCTGCAGCCTATGCTTCTTTGGGTTTGGCTTACTTGTTTTCCAAGCCTTTCCATTGCCTTAGGAGTGGGTGATGCCATTCTTTCTGAGAGAAGCGTAGCATTCCATTGTGCATATAAGCCACATTTTCTTCATCCATGTGTCCACTGAGGGCTTTCTTTTCCCCTTGTAGTCAGATGCCCTTTCTCACATCCAGGACCGTGAGCACCTGCCTCGTTTCCTTCTCAAGGAACATTGCCAGAGCCCTCTTGAGGTCCTTGTTCCTCAGGCTGTAGATGAAGGGGTTCAGCATGGGGGTGACCACTGTGTACATCACCGAGGCCGTGGTACTCGAGTGCGGGTTTTGGATCACCTCAGAACTGAAGTACACACCCAGGAGCGTGCCATAAGACAAGGAGACCACGGACAGGTGAGACGCGCAGGTGGAGAAGGCCTTGTACCTCCCCTGGGCCGTGGACATGGCCCGGATGGAGGAGACGATTTTATAATGGGAATAAAGAATACCAACCAGGGCACTCCCACCCAGCAGCCCAGCGGCACAGTACAGCGCTATTCGGTTCAGAGAAGTGTCAGAACAGGACACGTGGGCCAGCTGGTTAGGTTCACAGAAGAAGTGTGGGATTTCCAGAGCCTCGCAGAAGGACAGCTGCTGCACCAGGAGGCTTTGTAACAAGGAGTTCAGGGCGCTCGTGACCCAGGAGCCCAGCACCAGCAGCACACAGAGCCGGGGGCTCATGATGATCGCGTAGCGCAGCGGGTGACAGATGGCCCCGAAACGGTCGTAGGCCATCACCGCCAGCAGGAAGTCATCTAACCCTATGAATAATGTAAAGAAGTAAATTTGGATGACGCAGCCTGCGTAGCTGACAGCCCGGCTGTGCGTGTGGAGGCTGAGCAGCATCTTGGGGATGGTGGTGGAGGTGAAGCCGACGTCCACCAGGGACAGGTTGGAGAGGAAGAAGCACATGGGCGTGTGCAGACGGGGGTCGGAGGTGGCTGCCAGGATGACGAGCAGATTGCCGAGCACGGTGAGCAGGTACATGGACAGGAAGAGCCCGTAGAGGAGGGGCTGCAGTCTGGGGTCTTCTGAAATTTCCAGAAGAAGGAATTCTACGATTTGCGAGTCATTCATTGTTCAATGTGGTTGAAGACCCCCCTTCTATGGTTAGTATATGCTCATGAAAATGCTAAAAAGAAGAGAGAGAGAGAGAAAAGAGAGTATATAGCACAATAAAACCATGCACACTTGACCAAGATACTGCTGTGTCTATTCTACAGCCAAGACCTGAATTCTGCGGTTTTGTGTGTGAATCTGCTCCTCCCCTTGGGATCCCTGTCACGATGATTGGAGTTTTCTGCCCACCACTTAGTATCTTCCCTGGAGATGACGCATTCAACATGTTTTGTTTTTGTTTTGTGGATCTGTGCTGGTCTCATGGCTTGAACTCAGGACCTGGGCACTGTCCTTGAACTTTTTTGCTCAAAGCTGGTGCTCTACCCACTTGAGCCACAGTTCCACTTGCCTTTTCTAATTAATTGAAAGTAAGAGTTTCATGGACTTTCCTGCCTGGGCTGGCTTTGAACCGTGATCCTCAGATCTCAGCCTCCTGAGTAGCTAGGATGACAGGTGTGAGCCACCGGTGCCCAGTTGGAAGGATACATTTTTGGGCACTGAGGAAGAAATCACATTGAAACTTATAGTTTCATCCTACATATAGGATGCTGATCCTAATTCAAGACAACAAAATGAAACAATAGCTAATTAAAGTATTCATAGGAGCTGGGCACTGGTGGCTTACACTCGGATTCTTAGCTATTCAGGAGGCTGAGAGCTAAGGACAGAGTTTGAAGCCAGCCTTGGCAGGAAAGTCTGTGAGACTCATCTCCAGTGAATCAGCAAAAAGCTAGAAGTGGGGATGTGGCACAAGTGGTAGAGCACTAGCCTTGAGCAAAACAGCTCAAGGACAGCACACAGGCTCTGAGCTCAAGCTCCAGGATAGGAACACACACACACACACACACACACACACACACACACGCACACACACACCTACACACATACAGAGCACTTCCCTCCACATCTCATATCCAATTTTCTGGCCTCCTGATTGCAAAAGTTTTTTTGTTTTTTTAAGTTTTGCTTGGGCTCTAATTTGATAGACTTTTGTTCCCTTTGCTCAGCTGGCTCCGTTCCCATCCCACAATGGTCCGTCCAGATGCGAGCCTTGCAGGGTTCAAAGGACACGTCAGCTTCCGAACGTGAGATGGATCGCCAGCACGTGAGCCCAGTAGATGATGCTTCTCGAAATGAGCTCCAAGGAATGGAAACGAGAGATTTTTTTTGTACTGTGTGCAGTTCCTTTTCCTTTTCTCGTTCCTTCTCTCCATTCTGCTTTGCTCTGTCTCTGCTTGTGATTTGTGCACCTTCGTCTTGTACATAAATGAATCTGATTGGGGGAGGGGAGGGGGGCGTGGGAACGGAGGGACAGAGGGTGAGCCAGCTCACAGCCAGACTCACGGACTGGGCCGGGAATGAACTCTCCTGCAAGGGGGGAGGGGGGGGGGAGGTCAGGAGGGGAAACCAGGGAGAGAAGGAGGGAGGGGGCGACACTGTTCTAAAGGAAATGCGCCCATTCCCTGAATCGCACATCTGTAACCCCTCTGCTCATCACCTTCGTAATAACAATTAAAAAATAAACAGAAGAAAATGAACCTGGTAGGCGGGAAGGAGTCAGGCCTCGGCTCCAGACAGGAAGGTGGGGAACGGTCAGCTCCTCTTCGGCTGCTTCTCAGTCCCACCGGCCGGGGGTGGGTGAGAAAACCGTCTCGACGTGGGAATCGCATCTCTCTCTGGACGGCAGAGAGGATCTGGAGTCCGGCTCTGACAGGATGGACGAGGGAGTGGACGCAGGGCTTCCCTAGCCTCGCTGCAGACCCTGCCGGGGAGCCCCCATGCCCAGCCCGCGAGGGACACAGCCAGGCAGCGGGCTTCTCCCTCCACGCCGCTCACGAGGGATGCTCCCTCTCCTTACTCCAGACCCTAAGCTCCTCATCCCCCCCCACCCCAGGGACGCTGGTCTGGGCAGAATTAAAAAAAAGTCATGCTCATTTTATTTCCCCGAGAGACGAGATTAGAAGTGAGGGGAATTCAGGCTTGTTTATTCTTCTTGCTTTCCCCCTCTTCTAAAACCATTGTTATTACAAAGGCGATGGGGGGAGAGAGGTGACAGTTACACCAGTCAGGTCGAGTCACTTCAGACAATGTCGCCTCTTCCCGCGCTCTCTCCCAGTTTCCCCCTCCTGTCCCCACCCACAAGCTGTAGAGATCATTGTCCCCACAGCGTGGAGTGAGAACCCCTGCTGCATTTGTTCACCCTCTGTCCCCCCATTCTGTGCCCTCCTCCCCCCCACAAGGACAGGAAAATGAACAAACGAGAGAAAAAGAAAAGGATCCTGGAGTTTCGTTGGATAAATATTGCTTTCTAGGACCAGAGGCACATGGGCATTGCACCGAGCTTCCCCCCACCCCGCCTCCAAATGTTAGTTCCAACTTTGTCCAAAGTCTGAGTTGGGGGGCCTGGAAACTTCCCAAAACGGTCACTCCCTCCTCATGGAGACAGATAAACAGACACCATTTTGTAGAAAGCCACATCACCATTACTACTGCCCTTGCTTCCCAGCAGGTAGGAGGGTAAAATCTTGGGGCACAATTTAAGAAGTGTTTTTTTTCATTTATGAAATGCATGATAATTTCCACAGGTATTTGTAGGTGTTGAACGCCCCATAGACTGAAGATAGATCTTACACAATTTTTATTCTTTATTTTTTTACTGGCTCTGGACTTGAACGCAAAGCCTGGATGTCGTCCCTGAGGTATTTTTTTTGCTCAAGGCTAGTGCTCTATCACTTGAGCCACAGTTTCACGGACAGCTTTTGCTGGTTAATTGAAGATGAGGGTCTCACACATTTTCCTGCTTGAGCTGGCCTTGAACTATGACCTTCAGCTCTCAGCCTCCTGAGGAGGTAGGGTTACAGATGTGAGCCACCAGAGCCTGGCAGGCTTGTTTTTTTTTTTCCCTTAAAAAATTTCTGGTAGCCTTGTTTAGATCTCAGATTCCTTCCATGGCTTCTCCTCTTCCTTGTAAAGGACAACAATGAGAATCTTAATTTAAAGACAATTTTCAAAAGATTGAAGGTCTCCACGATTTCCCCAAGCCAAGAGGACAGACCTCTTTTCTAGACATTTGGTTAGCTTTTTTTTTTTTTGCCAGTTCTGTCTGTCTCTGAGCTTCTTTTGTTCAAGTGTTCTATCACTTGAGCCACAGCGCCACTTCCGGCTTTTTCTGCTTATATGGTGCTGAAGAATCAAACCCAGGGCTTCATGTATGCTAGGCAAGCACTCTACCACTGAGCCACCTTCCCAGCCCTTGATTAACTTATTTTTAATTTTTAATTTTTTTATTTTTAATTTTTTATCATAAAGATACTATACAGAGGGGCTGGGAAGGTGGCTCAGTGGTAGAGTGCTTGCCTTGCATGCCTGAGGCCCTGGGTTCGATTCCTCAGCACCACATAAGCAAAAAGAAAAAAGCCGGAAGTGGTGCTGTGGCTCAAGTGGTAGAGCGCTAGCCTTGAGCTGAAGAGCTGAGGGACAGCGCCCAGGCCCAGAGTTCAGGCCCCACAACCGGACCCCCCCCAAAAAAAGATATTATACAGAGGGTTACAGTTACATGAGCAAGGTAATGAGTACACTTCCTACTGAGCATTGTTACCCCCTCCATTGTTTTCCCCCTACTATCCTTTCCCTCCCTACCTTCCCCGAGGTTCTTTTTTTTTTAAATTGTGATTAAGTGATTACATAATTTCCCAAATTTCACAGTATTGTGGAATAATGATGCTCATTTAAAGTCACAAGCTCATTCTAACTTTCCTGGAGCACATTGTCTATCACGGTCTATAACATATAACCGTGTACACATATACACCATACATGTGATCAGCAGCATGGGGATATTTAGTAGTGGTTCGGCCAGATGAATGGGAGTTCTTTGTTTCTTAAGTCCTGTTAGTTTTGTCGTATCACCTAACATTTTGGATTTAGCATCCACTTATCAGGGAGACCATGTACCGTTTGTCTCTTTGCTCTTGGCTTACCTCGCTCAACACGATTTCTTCTAGCTCCATCCATTTCCCTGCAAATGCCATTATTTTGTCATTTCTAATGGCTGCATAATATTCCATTGTGTATAGATACCACAATTTTTGGATCCATTCATCTGTGGTGGGCCATCTGGGTTGTTTCCATATCCTGGCTATTGTGAATAGTGCTGCAATACCTTGATTAACTTTTTAATTAAAAAAGAATACTGAGGGAGCTGGGAAGGTGGCTCAGTGGTAGAGTGCTTGCCTTGCATACATGAGGCCCTGGGTTCAATTCCTCAGCACCACATAAACAGAAAAAGCCAGAAGTGGCGCTGTGGCTCAAGTGCTAGAGTGCTAGCCTTGAGCTGAAGAGCTGAGGGACAGCTCCCAGGCCCAGAGTTCAGGCCCCATGTCCGACAAAAAAAATACTGAGGGGGGAGAGGAAATGAGAGTAACCGAGGGATGGGGGTAACAATATTCGACAAAAAACATACTCATGACCTTCCTTATGTAACTGTGACCCCGCTGTGCATCACAATGAAAGAAAATAAAATTAAAGTAGAAAATAATAAAAAAAATACTGGACCAAATCATTAATGAGGAAATCACTTCTCTAGCCAAATGTATTTTCTCTGAGGACAAGGGAAAAAAAAAAAAGAAACAACAAAAAAACTAAAGTAATAATTTTGAACTCTTGCCTAATTGTAGTCTTTAGGAAATATTTCAAATCAGTTGAAAATAAGTATCTGAAGGATTGAAAGAAAAGAAACCAGATACTTCTGCATGCTGGAGACTTATGCCTGTAATGATGCCAAACTACTCAGGAGGCTGAGATCTGAGGATCGTGGTTCAAAGCCAGACAAGGCAGGAAAGTCCATGAGACTCTTATCGCCAGTGAACCACCAAGATGTTGGAAGTGGAGCTGTGTCTTGAGTGGTAGAGCTCAAGCCTTGAGCAGAAAAACTTCAGGGACAGTGTCAAGGCCCTGAATTCAAACCCCACAACACACACACACACACACACACACACACACACACACACACACACACACACACACACACAATCTTTCAAATTGAAATACAACATGGAAAGTTGATGTTCCCTGTTGTACAGAAGCTACTGTGTGAGTTGGAGCACTAATCAATCAGTTATCTAAACTCTTTCAATGTAAGCTATCTATCTATCTATCTATCTATCTATCTATCTATCTATCTATCTATCCATCCATCCATCCATCCATCCATCCATCCATCCATCCATCTATCTATCTATCTATCATCTGTGCAGGTCCTGGGGTTTGAACTCAGGACCCAGGTTCTGTCCCTGAGCCTTTTCACTCAAGGCTGGAAGGCTGGTGCTCTATCACTTGAGCCACAGCTCCACTTCTGGGTTTTTCCATGGTTCTTTGGAGAGAAGGGTCTCACAAGCTTTCCTGCTTGGGCTGGCTTCGAACTGTGATCCTCAGCTCTCAGCCTCCCGAGAAGCCGGGATGACAGGTGTGAGCCACCCGTGTCTGTGGCAGCTCTTTTGTGTTTGGCCTAGGGCAATGCTGCCCTTTTGGTGTTTCTCTGCAGGAGTGTCCTCAGAGCCCTCTTGAGGTCCTTGTTCCTCAGGCTGTAGATGAAGGGGTTCAGCATGGGGGTGACCACGCTGTACATCACTGAGGCCGTGGCCGTCGAGTGGGGGTCTTGGGCCACAGTGGAGCTGAGGTACACACCCAGGATCGTGCCGTAAAACAAGGAGACCACGGAGAGGTGCGACGCGCAGGTGGAGAAGGCCTTGTACCTCCCCTGGGCGGAGGACATGGCCCGGATGGAGGACACGATCCTGGAGTAAGAGTACAGGATGCCGGCCAGCGAGCTGCCACCCAGCAGCCCAGCCGCGCAGTCCATGAGCACGTTAATAAGGAAGGTGTCCGAGCAGGCCAGGTGCACCACCTGATTCGGTTCGCAGAAGAAGTGCGGGACTTCCACGTCGGAGCAGAAGGACAGGTGTGCGAAAACAAAGCTTTGTAACGAGGAATTCAGGGCACTGGTGACCCAGGAGCCCAGCACCAGCAAGCTGCAGCGCCAGGGGCCCACGATGGCCGCATAGCGCAGCGGGTGACAGATGGCCACGAAGCGGTCGTAGGCCATCACCACCAGCAGGAAGTTGTCCAGCCCTGCAAAGAGCAAGAAGAAGAACATCTGGGCCACGCAGCCCGCGTAGCTGACGGCCCGGCTGTGCGTGTGGAGGTTGAGCAGCATCTTGGGGATGGTGGTGGAGGTGAAGCCAATGTCCACCAGGGACAGGTTGGAGAGGAAGAAGTACATGGGCGTGTGCAGACGGGGGTCGGAGATGGCTGCCAGGATGATGAGCAGATTGCCGAGCACGGTGAGCAGGTACATGGACAGGAAGAGCCCGTAGAGGAGGGGCTGCAGTTGGGGCAGTTGTGAAAATCCCAGAAGAAGGAATTCTGAAACCCGTGTGTCATTGTGCGATTCCATGTGTCGTAGGAGACTACCAGGAAGAGGGAAACAATCACCAGATGAGTGAATGAGCACGCGCACAGTGCTCTTCAGAATGTCCTCAGACTCGTCTTGGATTGCCCTCCACCCCCACGTATGTCTATGAGTATGAACGCCTATGTGAATGCATATGCGCACGTCTTCAATGCATTGAATAGTTTACAGCATTATTACCAATGCCTTCTGTACTTTAAGAATAAAAGCACATCACCACAGCAGACTCGAAACTCTCCCACAGAGCCATAATAACAAAACCAGCTTGGCACTGACACAAAACTAGACCAATGGAATAGATGACAAGACGCAGAAAATAAAACCCTAGACCCAAAGACCTATGGCGAGGAGAAGAAGTAGCCTGAACAAACTGGACAGCCATATGCAGAAAACTCAAAGTGGATCCCTGTTTGTCACCGTGCACTAATATCAAGTCAAAGTATATCAAAGGCTGGGCACTGGTGGCTCACACCTGTAATCCCAGCTACTCAGGAGGCTGATATCTGAGGATCACAGTTTGAAGCCAGCCTGGGAAGAAAAGTCACTGTGAGGCTCTTATCTCCAATAAACCACCCAAAAACTGAAAGTAGGACTGTGGCTCCAAGTGGTAGAGGGCTAGCCTTGAGTGAAAGAACTCAATAACAGCATCCAGGCCCTGAGTTCAAGCCCCAGGACCAACCCCTTCACCCCCAAAAAGAATCCCACAAATCTCCCAAAGTGGATCAAAGACCTCAACATCCGATCCAAAAACTTTGAAACTACTAAGAGAGTAGGAAAAACATTAGAACTCATAGGCATAGGTAGACACATGTTGAACAGAGTTTCCAGGGCATAACAGATAGAAGAGAGACTTGACAGATAGGACTACATCAAAATAAAAAGTTTCGGCACAGATACCAAACTAGAAAGACAGCCAACAGACTGGGAAAAGATCTTTACCAGCAATACATCAGACAAAGGCCTAATATCCAATATATACAAGGAGCTCAAGAAACCAACCCTCCCACACCTCATAAACCAGTCACTAAATGGGCAAGGGAGCTAAGGAGAGACTTCTCAGAAGAAGAGGTGAGAATGGCTGCCACGCCTACTCCGGTGGAGTCTGCTTAGCATGGGAAACCTGCTTTCAGACCTGAGAATGGGGCTTCACAGAGACCTATCTCTGAGAATGGGACTTCACCGAAGTCTACCTCAGAGAATGGGGCTTCACAGAGGCCTACCTCCTGGAAAGGCTGGCAAGCCCCTGGGAAAGATGTGTTTCTGTTCTTGTTTTTTCTTTTCTTCACTGTATAAGAGTGCCTATGAATCTTTTACTGTTTCTGCTATTTCTTAAAAATAGAGATAAGCCGGAAACAAGTGCCTATCAGGCGACCAGCTGGTGACCACCCAAGAATGAAGCCCTGCAGCAAGATTGTGTAACCTTTTGCCCTTTCTCATGGAGACTCTTGCTATAAAAGCTTGTCATCCTCTGCATTAAATCGCGCTCAGCATCCACTCCTCTTGTGTGTGAGTTGTCTGTTTGCCATCTCCCCACCTATTCCAGTTCCTCCACTAGGTGTCCTCCGTCTTCCCGACAGAGCCGGTCCGAGGCAAACGGCAAAGAAACACAGGAGGAAATGCTCATTATCTCTGGCCACAAAGGAAATGCAAATCAAAACAACCCTGAGATTCCATCTCACCCCAGTTAGACTGGCCAACATTGTGAATTCAAACAACAACAAATGTTGGCAGGGATGTGGAGAAAAAGGATCCCTACTGCACTGCTGGTGGGAATGTGAACTCCTGCAACCACTCTGAACAGCAGTCTGGAGGCTCCTCAAAAAACTAAACACAGACCTTGCCTACGACCCAGCCAAAGCACTCCTGGGAATCTACCCTGAACATCATGCTCCAGGATACAGTAAGGACACCTGCACACCCATGTTCATTGCTGCACTGTTCACAACAGCCAAGATATGGAAACAGCCCAGAGGCCCCACAATAGATGAACAGATCCAAAAAACCTACACCCAGTGGAAATTTACACAGCCCTTAGAAAGGATAAAATGATGTCATTGGCAGGGGAAATGGACAGAACTAGAACAAATTATGTTAAGTGAGGTAAGCCAAGTTCAGAGAGACAAACGATGCGTGTTCTCTGTGATATCCAGAAGTTAGATCTAAAACGCACTGGGATATGACAAATTACACAGGATTCTAGATCCTCACACACAGCAAGACCAGAAGAGGATGGCCTTAGGAGAAAACCACAAAGGTGCAATACCCAAGCGCCTCTTCACAGGTATATAAACCAACTCCAAAGATACGGAAACAAAAGAGTTCTTCCAAAAAAGTTTTTAGTTTTTGATGGCTCTGTCTTCTTTACCCTATGTATGGTGTATTCGCGTGTATATATTCAGGAGGGCGGGGGAGGGCATAGAACTCCAGGGAAAAAGGGTCGAGCTCACTGGACATTGGTGAAGTGAATTTGTCGGTGGAGACGGGAGGGAGGGAGTGGGAGAGAACGAGGGAACAGAAGACACTGGGTGAAAGGAAATGTGCTCGTCACCTGACTCATGTCAGTGTCACCCCTCTGTACACCATACCAGTAAACATCTATTTAAAAAAGAATAAAGACACATTAAAAATCAGTTTTCTGGAACTATCTCTCTCTATATATATATCATTCTACATATCTTTCTTCCCTCATTCTCCTCCCTCCCTCTTTCCTTCTCCTTTCTTTCCTTCCTTCCTTTCTCTCTCTCCTTTCCTTCTTTCTTCGTCATCATTCTATCATTCTACAGATCTTTCTTCTAATTCCCCTCCCTCCTTCTTTCCCTCTCTTCCTTCTTTCTTTTATTAAATATGTATTTTTTTATTTTAAAGATGCTGTACAGTTACATGAGTAAGGCAATGAGTCCATTTCCTATCGAGCATTGTTACCCCCTCCTTTGTTTTTCCCCTACCATCCCTTCCAGCCTCACCTCCCCAACTCCAAGCTGTAAAGTCTGTTTCCAACATAGTTTCTTGTACATCTCATTGCTACAATGGGTCAATGTGTATCCTTATATCAGCATTTTGTTATTCTCTCTCTATATCATTCTACACATCTTTCTTCCCTCATTCTGCTCCCTCCCTCTTTCCTTCTCCTTTCCCTCCTTCCTTTCTCTCTCTCCTTTCCTTTCTTCTGTCTTTCTCATCATTCTTATCAATCAATCAGTCTATCTACCTATCTATCTTATATCTGTAGAACTAAGTGACCAAGATAACAGTAGAAAAACCCTCCAAATCTTCCATTGAAGCTAGAAAATCAGAAGCTAAACACACGCAGTCCTCCTAAAAGCAAGGTATCTGCAGAAGTAATCTGGAATTACAAAGAGACGGGAAAAGGCCAACCATGTAGAATTTTCTATGTTCACCAGGAAGAATGAAATCCTGTCAGTTGCAGGAGAATGGATGGATCTGGAAAATACCACCCAGAGACACACAGCACGCGTGTTTTCTCTCCTGTGTGGGTCTTAGACCCAAAGCACAGCTGCCCCATAAGCACACACAGGTGCATGCGTGCGCACGCGCAGCCCCGCCCCTGACGCGCTGGACACACGCACGGACGTGCGCACGCGCGGCCCCGCCCCTGCACACCATGTAACACCGAGACAGAAAAGAGGAGGAGGCCGACAAGCTCCCAAACGCATCCACTGTCCAGGAGTGAAGAACGGCCGCCCGCGCCTGCTGCCCCCCAACTGTGCACGCGTGCGGGGACTGAGTTCAAGCCCAGGACTGGCACAAATCTTCAGATCTCACTAAGACCAATTGTCTGCCTGCCTGCCTTCCTTCCTTCCTTCCTTCCTTCTTCCTTCCTTCCTTCCTTCCTTCCTTCCTTCTTCCTTCCTTCCTTCTTCCTTCCTTCCTTCCTTCCTTCCTTCCTTCCTTCTTCCTTCTTCCTTCCTTCTTTCCTTCTTCCTTCCTTCCTTCTTTCCTTCTTCCTTCCTTCCTTCCTCCTTCCTTCCTTCCTTCCTTCCTTCTTTTCTTGCTTTCTTACTTTCTCTTTCTTTCTTACTTTCTGTAGCTGTACAAAGGCGTTTCAGGTCAATACGTCAGTTTGGGAGTACAATGTGTCTTCTTTTCTGGCGCTGGTCCTGGGGCTCGAACTCTGGGCCTGGGCGCTGTCCACGAGCTTTTGTGCTCCAGGCTGGTGTTCTTCCACTGGAGCCACAGCTCCACTTCCAGTTTTACTGCTGTTTAATTGGAGAAAAGAGTCTCATGGACTTCCCTGTCTGGGCTGGCTTCGACCCTCGACCCTCAGATTTCAGCCTCCTGGGTTGCTAGCACGGCAGGCGTGAGCCCCCGGCACCCGGCTTACAATCATGTCACTCCTGCCACCATCCCCACCCCACCCCATCGTCTCCCCAGCCCCACCCATCTCCTCAGCTTCCCTGGTCCCATTTTTCCCGTATGGACATTGAATGTCAGGACTAGATTCTCCCCCCCTTCCTCTCCTCCTTCCTCTCCCCTCCTCCCCTTCCCGTCCTCCCCGCCTCCCACCCCAACCCTACAAGCACACTCCAGCCTTCATTCATTTTGCTCACCTGTTCAGTTAGCTGCTCAAAGGAGTTACAACCACTGCAATCCTCCCCTCCGCTTGAGTCAACACGTTTGTGCATGTCTCCATAGAACCCGTTTCTATTCACACACACACACACACACACACACACACACACTCATAATTTAGACCTAACTTCCACCTGTGAGAAAGGACACATGTTCTTTGTGGCTCAGAGCCTGCCTTACTTCACTTGATGTACATTTTCCCCCTCAGGTCCATCTGTTCCTCAGTCTGGGGCTGACCTGGTCCTTTGAAAACACTGAGTATATTCTGTCCACCTCCATTTGCATTTTCCCCTTTAACCCCAATCATTTCGGCATCCCTAAGCAGGGCCACCGCTCACCCCGGCAGAGGGTCTGAGATGAGGTTGTCCATGTGGCGGTCTTGCTGCTCCCCTGGA